ATGTATATTGCATAATGTCCTGGGGTCTGAACATCTTCCCCTGGCCCTGTGGCTAAGACCCTGCTTCCCCTTGGCTGCCTGGGAGGGTTTCTGAGGATTATCCAGGTGGGTTTGTGGAATGCTTTGAGCTGCTCAGATGAAAGGAACGCGGTCTAATTTTGTTGATATCATAACCCCCCTGATGTCAGCAGCTCCACTGAACTAGATGAGCACAGGGAAAGTCTCACCAGAATCAGACATCACTTCTACCAAAAGAGGGGGCGGCTTGGCACTCATTTGCAGAGGTGGGGAGCTTTAGGAGGTGGTCAGAGGGAAAGCAGAGAGAGTTAATGTTCCCAGCAGGAGTTTCAGCTAATGATAGGAGGGGAGTGGAGTGGGGGGTATGGGGTGCTGGATGCATTGCAGATTACCTTCAGGTTGGGGAGCTCCCTGTGGGCTCTGTACCACCTCCCAAGTTCCCTGGGGGGCTGAGGTTCTGTGGTCCACAGTGGGCACTTGCTTCACACAGCCATCCTGACAGGCTCTTTCCCCCTCATCTGACCTCCTCACTATCCTAGTGTGTTTTCTGGAGTCCCCTCCCAACAAGCAACTTGCTCTAGAATCCTTGCCAATTCTGCTCCAACTAGAACCTCGTGTGTTTTCCACCACCCCCATTTCTCAGAGAGAGAGAACCCCTTTTGTTCTGCAGGTGCAAATCTTGGGGTCCCAGAGGCTCACTTCACTGCAGCCTAGGCTAAGAGATTTCACATTCCTCTGAATTCAAAACCCTCTTCTCTGCTCTCCTCGGCAGGCAGTTACTCAGACACAGGCCGTCTTCACTGTCATTGGGCTAGGCCAGAAAAAGTTGGGATGGACACACACACCAGGCCTGGAATCCTGACTGTGTTATTTACTAGCTGGGAAACCGAGGACAACTCAGTTAACTCCTCTGTGAAATAACATGGCATCCTTCCTTGTCACATGTCCTCTGCTTTTGATGGGCCTGATGTATAAAGAAACAGGATATTGCCCAATATAAGAAGGTAGGTAGGGACATTATTTTTATGACACATTTACGTCTATTATTTACTTTCTTATGTATCTATCTCGTTTTCTGAACTAGGTTGTAGCTACTCCACTGTATTCAACTTCTTTTCCACATTGCCTTGCACAGGACAGCACGTGATTCCTTATTAGCTTTCTAAAGCTTTAAATCAGATTGTGTGCTCTTTCAAGAGTCATTTGTGCCTTATTTGGTATTGCAAGGCACTCTCAAGGATTTTTAGTAGGGCATCCCTTTTCCGGGCCCCAGTTTCCTCATATGCAAAATAAATGTTTTGGGTTATAATTCTAGATGCTCGGAGGTCCTTTTAACATTAAAGTTTGGAGTCTACATATCCTTGGAGGTCATTGGATGTTCTACGGAGGATATTCCTCATCCAGCCTCTGCCTCTCTAATTTTCTTTCTTGCAATCTGAAATTGTCTTATTGCTTAATCATTTATTTTCTTATTACTTGCTTTCTCCACCTCTGTCAAGCCCCCAAGTATAAACCTTTATCTTGGGTTCTCTTACTGCCAATCCCCCCCCCACCCCCGCCCTGGCACAATCCCCCAACTGGTGCTAAACTAACACAAACTAGTCCCCTAAACAAATAAATGTGAAGTGAAGGAACTCGGCCACATGCACACAAGTGGGCAACCTGCCACAGGTCTGAGTGACCGCGGAGTCAATGTGGAGCAGAATCCCCAGGAAGCCAAGTAACTTGCAATGGGAAACATAGGTGTAAGTTTAAAAGAAATAGTTCACTCTCTTTATCATGGAAAAAGTCAAACATAAACAGTTGCTACATTGCAGAAGAGCACACTGGACCCTCTTGTACTCTGGGGGAGAGACCCCCATAGCTCCTTCATTCTTGAGCCACACCCTAGTTCAGTCGCCTCCCCAAGTGTGTGAAAGGTAGGAGCTGCTTTCTAATTAATAGAAGTGGGCACATTTGATGTCACCCCTGTGGGATCCATTTATGTTACATAAGACACCATCTTGCTCGCAGACTCGCTCTGGGGACTTCCCTGGCTGGTTGGCTGAAGTGGCCATGTTGGGAAAGGCCCTGTGGCAATGAACTCCGGTGCCCTCTAGTTGCTGAGGGCAGCGTCCAGTGGACAGTCAGGGAAAAGCCAGGGTCTTCAGTCCTGTAGCAGCAAGAAATGGATGCTGCCAACACCCAGAGAGAGCATGGAATCTGGTTCTCCTCCAGTCTGCACAGGGGAACGTGGCCTGGCAGTCATCTTAAAGGCAGGTGTGAGGTCCTACGCAGAGGACCCCGGGTGTCTGGATACCTGTCCCAATAAATCTGTGCTGTTTTGAACCACTACGTTTGTGGCAATTGGCAGCAAGCGATAACCAGTACAGATCTATCACCCCTGGTCAGCAATTTTCAACAGTTTGCCAGTAGTGTTTCTTCTTTACCCCCATGTTTTTGGGGGCTTAAGATGGGCAAAAGCACTTGCAAATACTTTCATATGTCCTCTAGGACATTTTGTTTTTAGTATATACACACATATATATTACATCACTGTGCATCTTTGTACAATGTATGCTTGTACACTTTCTCCTTTCAAGCGTAAATTTATGGGGACATAAATTTCCCCCCACCCATTCACCTGTGAACCTAGCAGAGGACATTCTAAACTCACAGGTCTTAGTTGACAAGGGGGGAGGGTCTTGAGTGACAAGGGATTAAGTCAATGAATCTAGATTTAACTGGACACTTGAAAAAGGTGCTTGCAATAAACTGAATAAAACCAACATCCCACTGACCTCATGACAGCCTATGAGAGCTTGCTCTTGAAATGTCTTTTCGGTTGGTTTTCAAAACACTCGTGCAACCACAAAGAATTTAATGGTCCCTATAATATACTCCTCTCATACAATATGTAAAATCATCGGAACCCAGTTCTGATTGTGAAAGATCCCGCCCATTCCCCTAGCCTGCTTTAGAGAAGACCCTTGTAAATTGCGTTATTTTATAATTCACCACTCTTATAAATTTCACGTCATACTCTAATTACCACCCCCAGCGCTCTTCCTTCCTAGGGAAGGGCTCGGGTCCTCCCTCCCTTGAATAAACCAGGCTCCCCTGGACTCTGCTCCCCCAGGCGGACCACCCTGGGGCGCGGAGCTCGCGGGCAGCAGCTGCGCGCGCCCCAGGCTGATCCCAGGGCGCCTCGCGGGCTGTGGGGACTAGATAAGGGGCGCGTGCAGCGAGCCCCGCGCCAGCCGGGGAGGGCGGCCGGCCGGGCCCCGCCGCTCGCTTTTGTTTGTTCCCATCTCGAACCCGCGCGCCCAGCGCGCCCGGCCCGCGCCCCCGCCCGGGTCGCGAGGGATGCAGGGATGTGTAGTTTCCTGGTCCCCAAGTCGCGTTTCCTCTCGGAGCCGGACGGCGAGGGGAAGGACTACACATCCCAGGGGGCCGTGAAAGGAAAGCGGGGAGCGGAAAATCGAGGCTCCCGCCCGGTAGCCTCCGCTGCCCGGGGCCGGCGCCCCCTCCACCCGAGGGCTCGGCCCCGGCCCCGGCCCCAGGGCGCGGGCGGGGACAGTCGGGGGCGGGGGGCCCCACCCGAGGCGCGCGCGGCCCCGCCGCCGCCCGGAGCTCGCGGGGCGAGCGGAGAACAAGGCGCGCGCGCTGTGGGCGCCGGGGCGCGGGGCGGCGAGGGGTCCGGGGCTGCCCCCACGCAGAGCCCGGCCGCCCGCAGGCTGGTCCCCCGCGAGGCGCCGGGAGCGAGGCGGCGCGGAGAGGTCGCCCGCTCGCCCTCCCTCGCCTCGGGAGCTGGGCCCGGCGGGCGGCACCGGCCATGGGGCCCCGCGCGCGGCCCCCGTCCCGGAGCGCGGCCGCCTCGTGCCGCCTCCCCGCAGCCCCGTTCCTGGGCACCCGCCGAGCCCCGGCGCCGCGCCCCGCGCGGGGAGGACGAGGAAGCGCCGGAGCGGGCGGGGAGGCGGCTCTCGGGGCCCGGGGCCGTGGGGGTGGCGCGTCCCGCGGGGCAGCTGCCGCTGGGCGCGGCCCGGGGAGAAGCCGGCGGCCGCCCGGAGCCCGCGGGGAGGCGCCGGGAGAGACGCGCCGCGCTCCGCCGGCGGGAGGGAGGAGCCGGGGGCGGAGCCGGCCGGCGAGCGCGGGCCGCCGCCCACCGGGCCGGGAGGAGGCGGACCCGCTCCGAGCGCCGCGCGCGCGCCGGGCTGAGCCTCGCAAACAAGTGTCTGTGGCGCTCGCCCCGCGGCCCCGGACACGCTCCGCCGCCCCCGGCGCCCCTGCTCGCGCCGGCCCGGCTCCGAGGGGAGAGGAGCGCGCCGGGCGCCCCCGGCCGCCGCGACCCTCGCCGCCCCCGCCGGCCCGCGCGGGGGCCGCCGACCCGGCTCCGCGGCCGGGCGCCGGCGCGGGGTGGCCGCCGAGCACCGCCGGGCTGTCGCCGAGCCCGCGCCCGACAGCACAGCGTGCCGGGGTCCCCACCCCGGGGAGGGGCTGCCCGCGGCCGCGAGCTGCCTCCCGCTGCCTCCGCTCTCTCCGGGGACGATCCGCCGCCGGCGAGCAGGATTAGAATAAACCCGGCCGCGGCGCCCAGGTGGCCCTCGGGCAGCCCGCGCCGCCGCCCCGGGTCCCCTCGGGGCGCTGCGCGCGGGGGGCGGCGGGCCGGGCGCGGCGAGGGGGCGGGCGCGCGGCCGGCGGGGCACGGATCGGGCGGCCCCCCGCGCCCCGAGGGGCCCCGGAGCCCCGGCCCGCGGGCTGGACGCGACCGAGGACCGCCGCGGCGGGCGGCGGGCGAGCCCCGTCCCTCCGGGAGGGGGGCCCGGCTCTGACAGCTGCGCGCCCCCAGGGGTTAACCTGGGCGTCCTCAGCAAAGTTGTCGCCGAGCCGGGAGCCCGCGCAGGGGCCGCGGCGCCGCGGCCCGGGGGGCGGTCGTGGCTCGGCGGGGCCCGCGCGGCCGGGGGGCTCCTGGGGGCGTGCGCCCCCCGCCGGCTGCCCGCGTGGATGCCCCCCGGCGGCGGCGGGCCCATGAAAGACCGCGAGTACAGTCAGATCAGCACCCACAGCTCCTCCCCCATGGAGTCGCCCCACAAGAAGAAGAGGATCGCGGCCCGGAGAAAATGGGAGGTTTTCCCGGGAAGAAACAAGTTCTTCTGCAACGGGCGCATCATGATGGCTCGGCAGACGGGCGTCTTCTGCCTGACCCTCGTCCTCATCCTGGTCACGAGCGGACTCTTCTTCGCCTTCGAGTAAGTGGCGGCGAAAGCGCCCGCGACGCCCGGCTCCCCGCGCCCCCCCGCCCCGACCCCGGCCCCCCGCCCCCGGCTCGCTGCTTTCGTTTTCCAGAAGCCTTATCCTTATCTACTGTACATTGTTATGTAACGCCAGCCCGGGGCCCTGCTTTCTTGGAAAGATCGGTTGCTTTTCGGCCCCTGGAGAGAAGGCAGTTCTGGGTCAGGCTCTGGGCGGAGGGGGCCGGGGACCCTCGAAGGGTCACCTGGCAGGTGGCGTTCTTGGTGCGGTGTCTGCTGCCTTCGGGGACCAGCCGACCACCCCAGAGGTGGCCGCGGGAAGGGGCGAGAGGGCAGATTCCTTCAGTCACAGATGAATAGAATCGACTTCTTTTCTGCCTGACCAGCTGGAGGGGATCCGGTTAAGCTCATACCTGCCTGAATAATGAGGAATCTTGTTTTTTTTAGGTTTCAAATTCTAGGCGCCCCCACCCCCCTCCACCCCCAACATGTGGCCCGGAAGGCGCATTTCATTTTACATCCTTCTTAGATGGACAGTCTTGCTCAACAGTTTTTGATTTATCACGAGGTTTCTAAGCTGGTCACTTTTTAAAAAGTTTCAGGCAAAAAATCCCCTAAACAGACACTCTGGTCTCCCCTCCCAGCATGCAGGAACAGGTGAAAGGAGACTTCAGGCCATTCGGGAAGACCAGGCTGTATTGCCTGGAACTTGCGATTCCAGAAACAATACTTTGGGACTTTAGGGCTTCTAGCTGGGAAAATGTGCCTGAGCAGCCTCGCCATTTTCAGGAAAACCGAATCGGCCAGTAGCAGCCCTCCGCCTGCCAACTAATGGACTGTTTTCTTCTTATTAATAGTATTAGATAAAGCAGTTTAATCACATTCCAGAATCAATTCTGGTCACTCTTGCTGGGTCCAACATTTGTAGTGCAGCTGCTTATGTAATTCCTGGTATCTCCTCCTCAAGGAAAGTTGTAGCTACTTTCTCCCCCTAGAATGAAAAGGCAATATATTTATAGGGAGCACCTCTTTGCTCTTCCCATATCCTGGTGGACACGGGACTCGGGCGCCATACCTTTCAGTCTCCATCTGTTTCAGATGTGTTGCTTCATTAAAACCTTTTGTGTGTATTTACTTTTGTCTCTGATAAGCATTAAGAGGCTCTGATTTGGCATTTGGCTTTGCCCTTCCAATTGCTGTCTCCATCGGAAATGTAATACTTTCACTTAAAGCCTCTGACTCTGAGGGAGACACTGGTGACTGAGCGTGGTGCTATGACGGAGGATTTTAATAGGACTGAGCTAGAGAAGGGGACAGGAGGGGGGTGGAGGTGAGGTACCCCCTCCCTAGTCTTGCTCACACACAACCCACTACGCTGTCAGTTCTGGTTGTGTACACTTTCCCTCCAGATCTGCCAGTAAAATTTCCAGGCCTTCCCAAGTTTTACTTTGGTGTTTCCTTGGGGCCAGTTGGTGGAGTCTGGCTGGGGACCTGGGGACAGGACAGGAGGAGAGTTTTTAGAATGGCAGGAGCAGTGCTCCCTTGCTCTGCCAGTGCGCGCCTCGTCCCCGTCCCATGCCTGCCCCTTGTCCTTCCAAACCTGGGGGCTGGAGGAAGGGGCCAGAGGGGCCAGGCCAGTTTGCATTCTGAGTCATAATATATTCAGTGACAGCACCATCTGGCTGAACAGAAGTGACATCCCTCAAATGGTGCCATTATCGCAGGTGGTCCTCTGGAGAGAGTTCCACCTTGTTCGTAATGTTAAGAAAGTTTTGAAGAGACCTTGTTGAGAGTTTTGCTCCTTTTAGCAATTTTAAGAATGGAGAAGGTGGGTTAATCTTGTCTTCATGCAGAGCTTCAGTTGCAAGTGTCCCTCCTGCGGGATGGTGAATATTTCATTTTCTGGAAGCACCCAGCCCCCTCTGGTCTGGTTAGGACACCCCCGCCCCTGCGTTATTACTGGGCATCACTTATTTTCTGTGTTCTTTGCTTGTAATCAGACCATCTAACTTCATTTTCACTTCTTGTTCTTGGTGTTTCTTCCAGGGGTTCCCCAAGGCCCTCACTAGTAGGTTGTGGGGGTCTTTTCCTATGTCAGCGTGGTGTTAACTGACGACAGCAGGAGTGGGTGTGTGTGCTGGGATTTTATTAGCTTCTATCCGCAGCTTTGCTTTTAGATCTGCTGTGTGTGTGTGTGTGTGTGTGTGATTTCTATGAGTATTGCTTCATTTAAACAATTGGAAATTTCAAAAAAACAGGTCTATAAGCCTCAATTGAAAAGAAATCAGTCTGTTCAAACTATAGAATAGTATGGTTTGGCTAAGAATATTTGTCACTGTATTACTTTTAAGCTCTTTATCATCGCTAATGACTGAGTGGAATGAAATAACTTTGATTAAATCAATTTGATAGAAACTCAGAGTCAATTAGTCACACATAGAGGAAATGAAATTCCAACAGGCTGAGGGAGGAGGGGAAGAGGAAATGCTAGTTTTGTCAGCTCACTGTCTGCCTTCCTTCTGTCCTTCCTGGAGTTACTTATTGAGCACATCCCATGTGGTAGCCTATCTGGATTATCTTCACGTTTAGAGAGCTCTCTTATTGGTAGAATTTAGAGAGCTCTCTTATTGGTAGAATTGGTCCTTAAACAAAACAATCCACAGTTTCCCAGTGCAGTTGCAAAAAGGTAACTGCACACTTTGAAAAGAAAACAAGTAACTTCTAGATTTAACTTTAGACCCCTTTGCTACATTCTCCTGCCCTCCCTGTCACCCCCTGCCTGTAGCAGATGGACGGAGAAGCAGGTCCCAGAGACAGGGACTTGGTAGAATGCAGCAGGAGGTGTCCATCCTGCCTTCAACCCTGGGAGAAAGGCGGGCTGAAGCTCTTACTCCCACACTGAGGAGGAAGTGATGGAGGCTTGGAAGGCCCAAGTGATCACCTAAGATCACACACAGATTAGGGGCAGTGTGTCTGCCTGCAGGCCATCATGCTACCCCCTCCAGACCTAGACGAGTGGGCAAAGGCCTGGATTTGGGACCACCTTTATCCAGATCTCCAAATACTTACCAGAAGTCCAATCCTGGCAAATTACTGGGCTTTTCTAAGCCTGTCCCCTGTTCTGTAAAATAGGGTTCATCAGGCATATCTTTAAATATTGTGAAGATTCAATGAAAAAGTACTGAGTGCAGAGTCTGATCCATAGCATGTGCTCAATAAACACTCCAGGTTATTAGAGCAATCTCGAGATGCAGCCTCCTGCCCTACTGGGATTTGCAATTTGGTCTTTCTTCACAGCAGTTCTGGTCTCACAGCTCCCCCTCTCCCCCCTTGGAATCCCCTAAATGCTGAGCATGTTAAAGGTGCTTCTTGGTATGTGGACAAGGAGACTTTTGGGGAGCACCTCAGGATGGAGCCTGGTGGCCAAGGGAACCGAGCAGGGAGGGGAGAGGAACTGGAGGTCAAGTTCAGTGGCCAGTGCATAATGAGTGTCTCAGTCATGCCTGTTTGCTGAAGCTCCCACTAAGTCCCAAAGGGTGAGGCCTGGACAACCTCCAGGTTCATGGACACTGACTATTTGGGGAGGATAGCACACCTACAGAGGGCCTGGGGCCCAGAACATTCCCCACACCTCACCCAGGCATCTCGTCGGTCTGGCTGTGAATCGTCCTTTAGGTCCTTTGTAATGAACCGGTGATGTAGGAGTGGGTGGGTCTCATGAAGTCTGTGTGCCCTTCTAGAAAAATTAATGGAACTCTGTTCTGTAGCATGTCGGTCAGAGCACAGGTGGCTCCTGAGGTGGTGGCGGCTGTCAAGGGCTGTCATTGGAGCCCCAGCCTTACCCCATAAACCTGATGCCACCACTGGGGGAGCTGGTGTCAGGTCAAGTTGAGTTCTCAGGACCACCTGCTGGTGTGTGAGAATTGCTTGTTCTGCGGGGAGGTCTGTGCACAGGGCCCTAGGAAGCCGGTCTGAGGACACCAAACAGGTACCACCCAAGGACCCTGGTGGCCTTTTCGGAGACCTTTGAAGGAGGGAGTGAGGACATGGGCTCTGACACAGTGAGAGCTATTAGGGCTGAAAAACAAGGCACCGTGTGGTCTGCCCCCGAAGATCTCTGCCTGAGTCTGAGTTAGGGCTTCACTCATGTCCTTTCAGAATGGGGGGGCGTGCAGGAGTGTCTGGGGCCACTCTTATGCAGGCCCTGAGCGACAGCACAGAGCAAGCCGACAAGAAGCGGGACGAGATTCCATTTCCACTTGGGAGCCACCTTCCCAGAGCCATGAACATGGTACAGGAAGCTGCCCGGGCACCCGAGGCACCTCCAGCCTCTCTGTTGGCACTCAGTGTCTGGAGTGCTGGTGGCAGTGAGTGCGGCAGAGGAGTGGGGCGCAAGGTGGGGATAGTGCTGTGGGGACCAGCGTCCTCCTGCAGCCACTGCTGTGGTCTCCTCTTCACATCCCACGTCGGTGCAAAGACCGACCTGACCGAGCGCGACCACCCTGCCGGCTCCACACCTAGAACCTGCTTTAGGTTAGAGCTGAAAATTTGAAAATAAAGCCTGGTCCTGGAAGCTTGGCATTCCATAGTCTCTTGGTCCTGGGGCAGGAAAAGGGAGCTGTAACAGAGGCTCCCGTTTTTTGGAGCATCCTGGACTTGACCAGCGCCCACATCTCTGCAGCTGCTCTGTAGTGTGCAGCTGCATCTGCGCTGAAACACTTGAGAGTGTCCCGACATTCTTATTTTTCTCATCACTCTAAGACTGTTGATGAATTTTAAATGTCATGTTTTCTTCTCTCTTTCACCTCTCCTTCCCTCCTTCCCTTAGTTTCACCTCTTCCTCTTGACTTTCTTTGGTGAATGGTTGGTAGTCAGTGGAACTGGGGATGTGTTTGCCTGGAAGATGGGATAAGGGACTGGCCCTTGTAAGCCAAAGTGCCACTTCCAATAATAATTTCTCCCTTTCAGCCTGGGATCCTCTGTTGTCTACTAAAAGG